CCGCCGCCGCCGCCATTTTCCCAGAGCGAGAGGCAGTGACACTGAGCGGGCGCAGGGGGCCGAGTCGGAGACGGTGCCTGAGTTCGGGAGCGGCAGCAGAGGGGGCATAGACACTCTGAGCAGCCTCGCCGTCGACTCTGCGTTCCCGTTGACTGTCTCCGTGCCCCCTCCCCTACTCCACAGTTGCTGGTGAAGAGGCTGCGCTCTGCTGTTTGGGGAGGGGGTGTGTGGAGCCGGGTCCTGCGTCCGCAGTGGCTGCTGTCGGGGGGTCGTCTGACCGCGGAGGTGTGAAGAGACTCCTTGGGGGTCGAGCAAATAACGGGGTTCGGGTGTCTGGTGTGCGAACATCACAGGTCAGTGCTTGTCTCCTTGGGAGTTCGCGGGGTTTGCGGGGTGGAGGGAAGTGTGTTTCCAGGGGGGAGGGGGCTTTCTCATCCTAATCTTCCCGGGGGGAGTCGGCGTTGCTCTCAGGTGTTTTGCCTTGGGTCAGACGTTGCTTGTTTGAATCGAATTTAGCTTTTCTCCTCCCTGTCTCCAGGAAGGGAGCATTATGGCGGGTTTTAGGGTTGGGGAAGGGGAAACTGGCAGTTAAACCCCCTTGAGAGTGGGAGTTAGGGAGGGGGCGCACTCCTCACTGGCAGTGGGTTAGGGCCGCTTGGGTGAGGAGGGAGGCTTGTGACTGTTAGTAGGGTTTGTGTCGAACTGGTCCCAGGAGCTGCCAGCTCTCTCCTCTACCGCATCTTGTTCAGGTGCTGAGAACCCGTACAGGCCCCATTTTCTTCTGCTACTTCCATGTCTTGCCTGGCAGTCTCTGGTATAATTTTCTCGTAAATAGGATGGGGGTGGAAAGAACGCCCTGGGTATCTCCCTTTGTGGGAGAACGAGTCAGCTCCTCATCCTCTCCGGGAGAGGGTAAACCCGCCCCTGAGGTGGTCACCCCAGTCCCCAGCCTTCTCAGTCTCCTCCCCCACTCCTCTTGCATTATCGCCGTCCTTTACTGTACCGGGGGCTTAGAACCCACAATATGGCACATTTCAGGGGAGCTTATTTTGACCAAGGGATTGGCACAAACACTGGCAGGAGACAGAAGAGAAACAAACGGTTCACTGTGCTAAACGGGGGAGGGGGAGAGAGAAAACAATCCGGAGGGCTCTTCCACCGGCCTTAGTTCCGTATAGATTCGTTCTTGCTAGACTCTGTCTTAAGAACGATACAGTTTACAGTGAAAGGGAAATCGCTAGAGTTAGCTTTAGAGTAAAGCCCGTTTTGCCTATTTCCCCCCCTTATTAGAGATGTGAATAACGTAAGGTGTTTGAAGTTCTGGAGACCTTCGAGAGAATTAAGTGAGGTGCATTCAGCTCTAGGCTGGAGACATCAATACTTAATTGGAAAACAGTTCGTTTTTTCCTTTAATCTCTGAGATGGGCAGTAAAAAGTGAAATTTCCCTCTTTTGTCCTTTACAGATTCTAAAAATGGCGGCCCCAGGCTGATGTTGTGGTAATCTAATCAGCTCGGGTCCTCCACACCCCATGCAGTGCGTTTGTCTGCAGCATATTACAGGCTTATTATGTTTACATGAAAGGACTGGCTTTTTTCTTTCTTCCCCAAACCGTGTAGAAAAATGTGTTAATTTTACTGCAAATTACAATGCTGTGTTTTAGCTGATTAATTTTATGGGTTTTTCCTGGGAGACAAATAAAATGACACCACTTTTGAAAAAATAAAAACACTCAGGTAGCCTTAGAAATTTTCAGTAGTGAGGCTAAGTGATCTCAAATATTAAAAAAAAAAGATATTTGGGGACAAGTAATAGTTTTCATTTGGTTTAATCCAAGCGTCTTTTATTCAGTTAGCCAAAGTAAATTAAAATGTTTAGTAAGCGTAAAGCACAACCTATTTTATATGATTAGATGTTTTAATCTAGGGTGGAACGTTTCTCATCCAACTTTTGACCAATCTTCTGAATTTTGGTTTTTGTACTCTTTCAGATTAATTTTTAGGGAGCTGTACAAACAAGCCTAAACCTGTTACTTCACTGGGTATGGAGATGCTTATTCATCTCACTATGATATTTTGGATCAATTTTCCCCATATATTTTATTATTCCTTAGGAATTTTCTAAGTTGATTGTGTATTTGATAAAGTGGAGCTCCATGCTTTTCTGCCTTTTGAAATTGTCTTACAGCATACTGTTATAATTATGGAAGTAAAAAAGTAAGGCTCTAGTTCTTGATTTTTTTTCCCTTTCCAAAATGCCCATTTATTTACCTTTTATGAGATGTGGACTTAAGTCTGTTTTAATAACAAGCCATATCATAATAGGGTCTCAAATCCGTTTTATGCTAATTTCATAATCTTATGGATTAGGGCAGACAATTAAATGGTGTCATTTAACTTTATTTTTAAAAGTTTAATAGTTAGAATTCATTTCTCTAGTGGGAGGTCGATCTTTTTGTCCTGAACTAAGCAGTAAGATATGAGTGGGCCATTAATGGCATTTAATGACCATTCTGATTGTGGAGCAACTGGAAGATGAGTGCCTTTCAATCCAGTAGTACTTAAAAAGGTTGGAGAGGGTACTCCCTTTCATGATTCTTTCATTCCACTGCAAATTCTGCTCTAAAATATGTACAATGGAATAAAAGAATCATAACGTTCACATATGAGTTAGATTGATTATAAATTTCTAATTTACAAAATAATTGTAGAAATTACTGGCTTTGGGTGTTTCACTGTGGAAGACTGAGCAAACAAAACCTTACTTAGAATCTTTGAAATATTTTATTAGGTGAAAACGGTGGATAGGGCAAGAGTTTGTTTAGGAATTTGGGATCAATACTCAGTTGTATTATGCTTTGAGTGATTATTTAATCCAGATCCTTAACTCCTGTGTAAAGATTGTGCATTTATTTTATAAACTAAGTGGTTAAGATATATGGTTCAGAGTTTGGTTCGTTAAACTTACTATCTAATGTAGGAAATCAATATAATAGGAGAAATTGGTTTATGTAGCCATAGAGGGAAAAATACTCATATTGTTGATTGTGACCTAGATCAAGTTAAAACACATAAGGCATTTGGATTTATTTGGCTTTAAACAATATCAAGTTAAAAACTATAAGAAAAGCTGCCTTCACTAATGAGCTTTCTTCGTACTGGTCTGCTTCATTGCTTTGGCGTTTGTTTCTTTTTCTTTATTTTGATACACTTTGGTTCCTATAAAATGAAACTTTTTTGTATGTTACACTTTATAAACGGGCTTTAAATGTTCGGTTTTTATTCATTTGTACCCCCAATGGACTATCTATGTTTTTGATTGTCAAGGCAAATTTATTAAAAGGTGAAGCATAATTTTGTTCCCAGAGTTTTAAAACATTTGGTTTCTTGGGCAAAACTTAGTCAAATGGTCTTTGTTCTTAGGATAGCTGAGTTTGGGGGATTAGTTGTTTATCTGTTTAAGTGGATTTGTAGAAAATCATAAAGTAATTGGAGAGCAGATTTTATTTTTAGAGACTGCATTTTGATCATGCTTCCCTTTTGTTGTCAGTATAAGTTATAGGATCTCTGATCTCAATTTAAGTTTAGAACCTTTACAAGACTTCTTATTTCTCTTCAACTCTTTAGATCTCTGATAACTCTTCTATAATTTTGGCTTGTCTTGTCTTCCTCACAGCTTCCAGCCGGAGAATTTTTACCATGTATACCATAGTAGGCTGTAAAATTTCTTGAATCTAAAAATGGGAACATGAGGCAAAAAGCCAATTAGTAAATTAGGAGAAACTCTTCCTCTTGGACATACATTAGTGGTCTTAGTGAAATTATAACTTCTTAAATTGGTTTATTTCAAAGAATAAATGGGCCCATTTTTATGCATCAAACTTTTAAAGGAATGTGGTTTTATTTTTTAAAGTGTGTTATAAATGCTAACGGTTCTGCTTTTCTGGAAGTTACTACGAGGACTTACAATGCGTGCTGACATTGTGTGTTTGAAGTATTGTGTAAAACCAATAGGATTTTGAAGAGCTATCAAAACTGCTTAACGTTAGCTATAGTAAAATAATACTTTCTTAAGAGATGCTATCTTTATTTTTAAAAACATTTTAATAATGTGTAATAGCTTCTGTCTCCAAA